ATAAAGCTTCCGAAATTACGGCTATGTTGAACGCGTTGGAACGCTATCGCGTAGACTTCGCGCAGCTGCAAGATCAAATCGAAGAGTGCGTAGGTATATCGCCGGACGAACAAGAATGGGAGAGAGGGGAACACGAAGACAGTATCGTACGAATAGAAGCTCATCTCCGTGATTTGCAACTAAGTGTTACGGAGGCCGGTCAGGCCACAATCGGGAATGATACGACCATGGTAACCTCAAATTCACGTGCGGCCTCTATGGATCTTAGTACACACGCTACGATAAAACTACCTGAAATCAAGATCACAACATTCGATGGAGAATGGGAAAATTGGCTCAGCTTTAAGAACGTCTTCACTGAGCTCATCCATAATAACCAGCAGCTAACGGATGCTCAGCGTTTCTATTATTTACAATCTTATGTCATTGCAGGTTCCGCCAAACAGTATATAGACTTGCCACTCACAGCGGAAAATTATTCAATCGCTTGGAAACAACTCCGGGATCATTTTGACGAGTCAAGAATCGTCAAGAAACACGTCAAGGGACTGTACGAATTGAAGAAATGCCAGGAAGACTCGGCACCATCGCTTCAAACATTAATCGACGGCATATGGAAGAACTTTCACGCTTTAAAGGCGCTAAGGCAGCCCGTTGATCAGTGGGATGCATTGCTAACGCATCTCATCCTGACAAAACTAGACGCAAGGTCGAGAGGCGAGGTAGAAAAGGCAGCGCCTTCCGACAGGCTGCAGACATTCACGGAATTGATGACGTTACTGGCCGACCGCGTCAGAATTCTCGAAGCCGTGTCGTCTGTGGAACCGAACAAGGCTAAATCAAAGGTCGATAAGTCAAGTAAGTCGTTAGTAGCAATGAATGCATTGCCATGTTCCATATGCAAAGGTGAGCATGCTATATTCAGATGTAAGTCGTTTTTGGATATGACTCCTCAATTGAGGTTAGAAACCGTTCGCAAGCGTTCCCTGTGCTATAATTGTCTCACGTCTGCGCATACCAAACAGGATTGCAAGGCAGGGAATTGTCGAATCTGCCATAAGCGTCATCATACGCTGTTACACTTAAAAACTAGTGCTAGCGTTAATCAGTCTACTCCACAGGCATCTAACGTTACTACCTCCTCCACGGAAACTGATGCGTCGAATGCTGGTCAGGAAATTAAAACACAGCCCACAACGGCGTGCAGTCTGCATGTCAATTACGATGTTAAGCCAGGTCCGGTTCTATTGGCGTCCGCTATTGTTAAGATTCACGACAGTTGCGGACGAGAGTACCTAGCGCGGGCCTTATTAGATGGTGGTTCGCAGTTTAGCTTCATGACGGAGCGTTTACGTCAACTCCTGCAATTAAAGGGAAAACGGGGACGCTTTGGACGGGTATCAACTGCACGAGGACAGCAACTAACACCTCCGTGCATGCAACTATCAGGTCTCGTCTGTCGAACTTTACAGCTTCCTCCGAGTTTCTGATCACTGACAAGATCACGGGTGATCTACCACAGCAAGAAATTACGGTCTTGAAGATACCTAACCACATGCAACTGGCGGATCCTCACTTCAATGTGCCGAACCGGGTTGATATCCTCATCGGCGCAGATATCTTTTGGGAGTTGCTTACTGGTGAAATAATAACAAT